AGAACAGAAATATAGAGAAATAGAGACTAGGGAAAATAAAAGAAACCAAAGGCTTGTTCTTAGGGAAGATCAACAAAGTGTGACAGACCTTTAGCTGGTCTGACCGAGAGAGAAAAGGACTCATCACTAGAATCAGAAATGAAAGGTGGGGCATTGCTTCTGACCTTGCAGAAATAAAAAGGATTATAAAAGAACACTACAAACAGTTGTACTAGTTAGATGACTTAGATGAAATAGACAATTTCTAGAAAAACATAAACAGCCAACAACTACTCAAGAGAAACAGACAATCTGAATAGATCTATAACAAGTGAAGAGACTGAATCAGTAATAACAAGACCGCCTACAAAGAAAAGCCCACACCTTGAATTGCTTCACCCCTGAATTCTACCAAACAGTTAAAAAAGAATGAATCCCAATTCTTCACAAACCACTGCAAAAAACAGAAGAGGAGGGAAGATTTCCCAACTTATTTTATGAGGCCAATAGCACCCTGACACCAAAACCAGACAAATACATTAAAATAAAAGAAAATTATAGATCAATATCTCTTATAAATGTGGATGCAAAAATCTTCAACAAACTATTAGTAAACCAAATTTAGCAAGGTGTCAGGAAAATTACACATCTTGACCAGTGAGATTACCTCAGAAATGCAAGCCTGGTTTAACATCCGAAAATCAATTGTAATGTAATATAGCACACCATATCAGAATAAAGAATAGAAGTTGCATGATTATCTCAATAGATAGGAAAAGTATTTGACAAAATCCAACAATCTCTCATTAAAAAAAAAATCTGGACAAACTAAGAATATAGAACTTTCTCTACCCAATAAAGGGCATCTATGAAAACCCACAGGTAGCATCATACTTAATGGTGAAGATGGGATGCTTCCCTCCTAAGATCAGGAACAGAACAAAGATGTCCATGTTCCCATTTTAACTCAACTGTACTGTACTGGAGACTCTAATTAGGGCAACTAGGCAAGAAAAAAAAGGCATCCAGATGGGAAAGGAAGAAGTAAAACTATCTCTGCTTATACATGACAAGATCTTGTATGTAGAAAATCCTAAGGAATCCATTAAAAAAAAAAAGCCAGAACTAATAGATGAGTTTGGCAAGGCTGCAGGATACAAGATCAATATGCAAAAGTCAATTGTATTTCTATGCACTCTCAATGACTAGTCTGAAAAATGCAATTAAGAAGACAATTTTATTCACAAAGCATCAAAAAGATGTAAAATACTTAGGAATGAATTTTTCAAAGGAAGTATAAACGTGTATTCTGAAAATAAAATGTTGCTGAAAGAAATGAAAGAAGCTCTAAATAAATTGGGGAAAAAATCGTATGTTCATGGCTCAGAAAACTCAACATTATTAAGATGACAGTGCTCCCCAAACTCATTTATAGATTCAGTATAATCCTCATGAGACTCTCAACTGAGAATTGTGTAGAAATTGACAAGCTGATTCTAAAAATCATATGGACTTGCAAGGAACTCAGAACAGCTAAGACATTTCCCCCAAAAGAAAATGAAAGTAGGCAGACCCCACTTCCTGATTTCAAAACTTACTACAAAGTAATGGTACATCTTCATGATTTTGGATTTGGCAAAAGACTCTTAGATATGACACCAAAAGCAGGAGCAACAAAAGAAAATATAGATTAAATGAATTCATCAAAGTTTTAAAACTTTTGTGCTTCAAGGGATACCACTGAGAAAGTGAAATCATGACGCACAGAATTGGAGAAAATATTTGTAAATCATGTATCTGATAAGGGACTTGTATCCTGCACTTAAACACTTGTATGTAACTCAATAAAAAGACAGATCCCAGTTTTAAAAGTGAGAAAAGGATTTGAATAGACAGCTTATTCAAAGAAGATATACAGATGGCCAATAAACTCATGAAAAGGGAAATGCAAATTGAAACGACAGTGAGATACTGCTTTAACCCACTAGTTTGACTAGCATCAGAAAGTCTGACCACAAGTGTTGGTAAGGAAGTGGATGTTGGAGAAATTATACTGGTGGAGGGAACATAGTTTGGAAAATAGTTTAGCAGTTCTTCAAATGATTCAACACAGAGTTAACGCCTGACCTGACAGTCTACTACCAGGTATATGGGTGAAATATGTCTTCACTAAAAGTTGTACATGAATGTTCACAGCAGCATTATTCATAATAGCCAAAACATGGAGAAAATCCAAATGTCCATCAATGGATGAATGGTTAAGCAAATTGTGCTATATCCATGCAATGGAATATTATTTGGTCATCAAGAGGAATGAAACATGATGACAGGGATGAACCTTGAAAACGTTATTCTAAGCAAAAGAAGCCGGTCACAAAAGACTGGTCCTTTATGATTCTACTCATGGAAATCTAGACTAGGGGAATCAGCCACTAATCAGCCACAAGGTACAATAAAGATAAAATTGGCTTGAAGAAAGAAGTGACCTAGAGCTTTGAAATAATTATACAACCAGAGGGAAATTCCTGGTAAAATCCTACAAACCCTTGCTAAGTCACAGGCTTGGGTTCTGGAGGGTGCAGAGGGCTTCACATGATGCTGTGTGTGGCCGCTGTGCTGGGGGCTCACACAGTCATAACTGGCCTCTGCTGGCCCCACTCAGAGAGGAGTGGGTGTGGTGGAGTTTATCCTGGGCACCAACTTGCAGGGCAGAGGGTGGCATGCTCCCACATCAGGCTGATTCTTGGCAACTCCACCAAACATGGAGAAGTGCTGGAGAGAGGCAGAGTTCACGCTGGGACCACTTAAAGCTCCCTGCAAGGTGCCTGAACCCGTGGTACATGTTACAGGAAAGCTTAACTTTTCACTTCCTGCTTCAGCTGTGCTTGAAGGATTTTAAGAGGAACCTGTAACAATCTCTGAAAGCATGTTGTCTCCAGTGCTACCTGACAACAAGCCATTGCTGGGGAAGAACTGATGTCTGTAAAGATAAGCCGATAGAGAAATTTCACCTATTAAAAAAAACCACCAGTTAAAGAAAAACATACAGACTTGGAAATGAATTTATAAAATATGAACAGGAAATTTTAACATCAACAAAACTGCAGTGTGCAAATGTCAACAGTAACGTGAGATTTAAGCAACAAGACTGCATATTAGTATTCAAAAATTTGTGAGCTTTTTTATATGTGGTCCCTTGAAGATCTACCTTTACATTCTATTGATTTCAATTTAAAAAACTAGAACTAAAAAAATAAATATGAACAGGGGAAAACGTCACAAAATTTCCAACTTTCAAGAGGACATTGGAGAGGGGAGGGTATAGCTCAATAGTAGAGCACGTGCTTAGCATGCACGAGGTCCTGGGTTCAATCCCTGGTACCGCCATTAAAAAAATAAAAGAGGATATTGGAAAGACTATATGGAGATTAAAAACGTAATCACTGAATCACAAATCTCAATGAAGGCAATGAACAGCAGGTGAGGTAAAACCAGAAAAACAAAGCAGAAGATAAAAACTGAGAAGTTCTCCCAGAACTGAGGAGAAAAGGGTAGAATAATGAAAATGATGCAAGGTTCTGGGGCTAGAACCTGGAAATACAATTTGTAGAAAGAAACCCCACAGTTTGGAATAGCACAGTTGGAGCAGAAGCAATAATTAAAAGAAAAAGAGAGCTTTTCTAAGCTAAATACAGAGACCCAAGCTAGCCCCTCATAGTAATCTGTATAAGTAGGAATATGTGATTATTAAGCTTGAATTTGTAAGAAGGTTGTAACAGAAAAAACCAAAACCAGCTTTGAGGATCATCCCTGGAAAAATGAAGAGCTTCTATTAGAAGTATCTTTTCCCTTGAAAGGATTTTTTTCCACAGTTGTCAGACACTTTTTCGTGACTTGGCTTACTGTGAATTGGAGATGACAGCCTCATGTGGGGAGAGTAAAAGTCCACTGCCTAATGCGGCTTTAGCACAGACGTTTGCTGATAGACAATCCTGGCCGCCAGCTAATCTGAGTAGCCAGCTCCCCCAGGACCTGCTCCCCGTACGCACTGAGTCAGGTCGAGAGTTCAGGACTCACGTCTGCGTCAGGGCTGAGTCCTCAGCACAGTGTAAGCCACCCTCTGATGATCACGGCTCCGCCACCACTCCCCTGTAACGTCTTTTGCTGACTTCATTAGGACCAAACTACAGACGTCCTTGAATGCCAGCCCTGTCCTTACTCCCAAGTCTGGACAAAGTACCCATTTGACAGGTGGAGCTATTTTGTTCCTTCAGCCCTGTCTAGGCCTTTTTACTCTTCCTTATCCTTTTTAAACACCAGGTTTGGCCTCCTCCTTCAGCCAGCAGGATGCCTTTAAACCACAAGGTTGCTGTCTCTCATAAACTTTACCTGCTCAAGACCTGAGACCCACATCTGTCCTTGCACCAGGAGCCCTTGGCCATTTTCATCATGTCCAGCCCCTGCTGGGCCAGGGCCAGGAAAGGTGGTGGCTGTGCATAAAGGAGGCCCCATCCTGGCTCACATTGGGACCCAGTTTCTTACTGGCACAAAAATCAGCCCTTTTAGGGACAAATATGTGATGTGATGCTGTTTGCCATAGTCTTGGGAAAGGCACTCAGAGAAACTGCACTAAAGCTCAAGGAAGAGGCTTGTCGCTCAGAAGGGAAGGCACCCAAGTTTCATCACTAGATTAAAGCCAACTCTCTCTCTAATTGTTTCTTCTGCAAGTTATATCCTACTGCAAGACTCAAAGGATGGTCAGTAGTTCTGCTCAAAATAAATGAATGGAGCCAGGTTTAGGGATACAGTAATGGAATATTTCCCAAACCAAGAATTCCCTTCATCTGGGTGCTGGGGACCTCTTCCTAATTGAAGGGATAAAAGACAATAGTTTTTCTCTCACACATTCAAGCTACTTCTGCCAGACAAGGAACCATAGCTATCAGCAACATGCTCTCCTGTCTTGTCCTTCTTGCCAGGACACCAGAGTGTGAAACAAAACAGAGGGGCATGGAACTCACCAACGTCAGGTGGGTGCTCTGGCCAGCCCACGCGGTCCAGTCCTGTCGGGGCGCTCTGGGAGAATGCGTGGCTTCTTCTAGGGAGATTCAAAGACTCTGGAGAGGTAATGGTCATCTTCCTCCAACACTGGGAGAGGAGGAAAGAGGCAGAGAGTAAATGAAGAAAAGAGATGATGTATTGTCATTGCTGCATTCTAATTTTTCTAATTGCCCAGGACTTTTGCTGTGAGCCAAGCACACAGCCAAAATGCACACAGCTCCAGGAGGTGCCATTCACTCCAAAATCCATGGGAAAAACAAAAGGCTTCTATTGGAGTCAGTAGTCTGCAAACTTTATGGCCATATGTGGCAACTGGGGCAGAATAGGCTGTCATTCAACCGTATGAAATGAGGACTGTCAAGAAGGTCTTCAAACCCCCAAATTACCCAAGCTGGTCGTCCACACAGCCTGACATTTCTCCCAAAGCAAGACTTCATTTTAGCTATATCCTTGTAGGGGTGCTTAATTCAAATGCAGCCCATGAAGTCCCTGACAACTGATAACTATAAGACAGATCTTACCCTTCACATAGTAAGGACCAGTGTTGCATGTGTCTTGGGAGGGCAAGGATATTGGCCCTTTCTTTGTCATCCTATTGTCCAGAAATAAACTTGGTCCCTCCAGATTTTGTCCACTTTATAAAGTTATTGAACTTACTTAAAAATTATGATATGTATTCAAATAAATGCTCTTTCTTTTGTATTCCACACAATTAAGAAAAAAGTGCTTAGAGAATTCTTTGTGTGGTTTCTGGAAACATAAATATACAAACAAGGATTAAATGGAGTTTGATACCTGACTCCACCTCTTCCATTTAAATGCAACTAAAAACCTTGGACAGATGTATAAATCAGTTACCCTGAAACTCTGAAAGTAAATGGTAGCAGGTGCGTTGGGGAAGGAAACTAGTATTTGAAGATACACTAATCCTGTGGTGAGTTTCCTTTTGGTGGCATCCTCTGGCATGAGCTCAATAGCAGCTTGAAATTGGGTGTGGACAAAAAATACTCCAAAAGAAGCCCTCTCTCATCCAAAGAGACGGGAAAGGAGCCCTTAAGGGTATGAGTAACTGGGGGAAATGCTCTACATTGTCATTTCCTCTCATCCCAGACTCCCAGGAAACCCCATTATACTATGGCAGTGATGGCCAGGCAGGGACCTAAAACTCTGAGGGAGGGAATTCTTTATGACCAGGGGAACTGTAGTCCCAAGAGCACAGGGAAGAATTCCTGTTTCCTTTTTCTTTTCTCTGCCTTCCTGTCACTTGGCTCCAGAGGCAGACGTAGTTGCAGGAAGTGTATGGCAGAGCAGGCAAACGAAAGCCTTGCTTTCTAGCAAAAAGACCGGGAAAGATGGGGGGCTCCTGGAAGCCAAGAACTGCTGGAAGAATGCAGAAGTGAGATCAAGAAAATGATACCGTAAAGTTGTTTATGAACTCCTGGACTAATGCCCAAACTGTGCCTGGGTGGATCTGACCCTAAACTAAAGTCTTCGAGAACCCAATTATAGAGCAGAACATTTTACAGGTCCCAGACTGGCCACTGGGTGAGCCACATTGTCCCAGTAGCACTGAAAACACCTTGAAAACTGAACTGACATAAGAAACATAGCCCCTGAAGGCCAGTTAGAACTGGTAGCCTAAACTGGATCTGAAAAAATTATCACTCTCCATAGGAACTAAACAAGACTCAGAGTCTCATAATATTCAAAATGCCAAAGATATAATCCAAAATTATTTAATATACAAAGAACTATGAAAATCTCAGTAAATTATGAGGGAAAGACATCAACAGATCCCAGCACCAAGATGACAATAGTGTTGGGATAATAAACGATTTTTAAGAAGCTCATGTAACTGTGCTCTAAGAAGTAAGGGTGAACACTCTTGAAATGAAAGAAAAATAACAGTAGGGAAATAGATACAAAGAAGAATAAAATGGAAGCATTAGAGCTGCAAAATATAATCACTAAAATTAAAATTTTACATGGATGGACATTGAAGACATTATGTTGAGTGAAATAAGTCAAACTGAGAAAGACTATGATCTCACATGTATGTGAAATATTTTTCAAAAAGCCAAGCTAATAGGTACAGAGAATAGATTGGTACTTGTCAGAGGCAGGGGTTGGTGGGTAGGCAAAATGAGTGGGTGGAGTCAAAAGATACAAACTTCCATTTATAAAATAAGTAAGTCATGGGGATGTAAGGTGCAGCATGGCAACTATAGTTAATAATACTGTATTATGTAACAGACATAAAAAGAGAAATTGAAAATGATAAAAAAAAAATACGGGGCTTTAACAGCCCACTTACATTAATGGACAGATTCTCAAACACAAAATCAGTAAGGAAACAGTGACCTTAACTGACACAATAGGCCAGTTGGAGTTATAGATATTTACAAGGCATTCCATCCCAAAACAGCAGAATACATATTCTTTTCAGTATTCTCTAGAGTAGATCACATGCTAGTCCATAAAACAAGTCTCAACAAATTTAAGAGGATAGAAACTATATCAAGCATCTTCTCAGACCATAGTGGTATAAAAGTAGAAATCTATTACAGGAATAAAAATGGAAAAAGCACAAACACACAGAGACTAAACAACATGCTACTAAAAACCCAATGAGTCAATAAACAAATCAAAGAGGAAATCAGAAAATACCTTAAGACAAAGGAAAGTAAAAACACAACCTTCCAAAATCTTGGGACATAGCAAAAGCAGTTCTAAGAGAGATGTTTATAGTAATATAGGCCTACCTCAAAAAACAAGAAAAATCTTAAAGAAACAACCTTATCTTTCTTCTAAAGGAATTAGAAAAATAAGAACAAAGTCAGCAGAAGGAAGAAAATAATAAAGATCAACATGGAGATCAAGAAAGAAAAGAAGAAGGAAGAAGAAGAAGAAGGAGAAGGAAAAGGAGAAGAAAGAAGAAAGAAGAAGAAGAAGAAACCAAAAGACCAATGAAACCAAGAGCTGATTTTCTGTGAAAAGATAGACAAAATTGATAAGCCTTTAGCCAGGCTCATTAAGAAAAAAAGATAGAGGACCCAAATAAATAAAATTAGAAATGAAAGAGGAGAAGTTACAACCAATATCATAGAAATACAAAGAATCATAAGAGAATACTATGAACAGCTTCACACTAACAAACTGGACAACCTAGAAGAAATGGTTAAATTCCTAGATACATATAATCTTTCAAGGCTGAATTAGGAAGAAAGAGATAATCTAAACTGACTGATTACTAGTATTGAAATTGTTTGAGTAATCAAAAAACAGCCAACATACAAAAGTCCAAAACCAGAAGGCTTCCCAGGGGAATTCTATCAAACATTTAAAGAATAGTTAATACCTGTCCTTCTCAAACTATTCCAACAATTAAAGAGGAGCAAACACTCCAATTGTCATTCTACAGGGCCAGCATTACTCTGATAACAAAACCAGACAAAGATACTACAAAAAAAGAAAAAAAATTATAGGCTGATATCTCTGATGAATGTAGATACAAAAATCCTCAACAAAATATTAACAAATCAAATTCAACATTACATAGTGGGTCATACGCCACAATCAAGTGGGGTTTATCCCAGGGATACAAGGATGGTTCAATATCTGCAAATCCATCAATGTGATACATCACATTAACAAAATTATGGATAAGGGTCAAGATGGCAGAGTAGGAGGACATGGAACTCAGATCCCTACATGAACACATCAAAAATACATCTATACATGGAACAATTCTCATTGAAAACTTACTGGAAATTAGCAGAAAGACTGCTGTACAACCAAGGCTTTAAGAAAGAACGAAAGGAAGAATAAAAATCACATAATCACCTCAATAGATGCAGAAAGAGCTTTTGACAGAATTCAACATCCATTCATGGTAAAACTCTCAATAATGTTGGTATAGAGGGAAGTTTCTCAACGTCATAATGGCCATTTATGACAAACCCACAGCTGACATCATACTCAATAGGGAAAACTTGAAAGCTCTTCCTGTAAGATCAGAAACAAGATAAGGGTGCCCACTCTCACCATTTCTATTTAACATACTATTGGAAGTCCCAGCCATAGCAGTCAGACAAGAAAAAGAAATAAAAGACATTCAAATTGGAAGAGAAGAAGTAAAACTGTCACTATTTGCAGATGACATGATACTCTATATAGAAAACCTTAAGGTCTCCACCAAAAAACTATTAGAGCTAATAAATGAATTCAGTAAAGCTGCAGGATACAAGATTAATATACAGAAATCTGTTGCTTTTCTATACACTGGTAACGAATTATCAGAAAGAGAAAGCAAGAAAACAATCACATTTACAATTGTATCAAAAAGAATAATATACCTAGGAATAAATTTAACCAAGGAGATGAAACACCTGTACTGTGAAAACTATAAGACATTGACAAAGGAAACTGGAGATGATTCAAGCAAATGGAAAGACATCCCATATTCATGAACTGGAAGAATTAATATTATTAAAATACCTAACCACCCAAATCAATCTACAGAATTAATGTAATGCCTATCAAAATACCTATAACATTTTTTTCACAGAACAAGAATAAATAAATAATCCTATAATTTGTATGGAATGATGAAAAAAAAAAACCAACAACAAATAACCAAAGCAATCTTGAGAAAAAAGAACAAAGCTGGAGGTATCATGCTCTCTGACTTCACATTATACTGCAAAGCTACAGTAATCAAAACAGTATGGTATTGGCATGAAAACAGATACATAGATCAATGGAACAGAATAGAGAGCCCAGAAATAAACCCACACATATATGGTCAATTAATCTATGATAAAGGAGGTAAGAATATACAATGGGGAAAAAACAGTCTCTTCAATAAGTGGTGCTGGGAAAACTGGACAGCTACATGTAAAAGAATTAAATTAGAACACTTCCTCACACCATATACAAAAATAAACTCAAGATGGATTAAAGACCTAAATATGACTGAAAACCATAGAACTCCCTGAAGAAAAATGATAATTCAAAAAGATATATGCACCCCAATGTTCATAGTGGTGTTATTTAAAATAACCAAGATATGGAAGTAACCTAAGTAG